ACAGACGTTTGATCGCTGGGGAGAAATTACGGAAGCGAGTCGTCAGATAGACGAAATTTCTACCGATCGAACGCAAATCTAACGAGCAGCGTGCCAATAGAAAGTTACGAAACGTCGATCGATCGCTAATTCTCCTTCCGCTGAAACGCCGCACACTGGGCCGGATCGAGAATTCACGCGACATTTTAAATAGAAAAAAAAGTCAACTTTCTCATTTCGATATTTTTATAATGTATATTAATAATGTATTGATAAATAGATTGATAAATATATTGAAACATATATTGATTTCTAAATGTCCACCAACCTCGAAAATGAAAAGGTTAATAAAATATAATACTAATTTTAGTTGAAAGGTACACGTAAAAATTAGACATATGAAAAATCTCGATTCTCAATAATTTGGTTCCTCTTCTTTGAAACGTTCTGACAATTTTCTATCCTGAATTTTCTCCCATGATAAAATATGGCCTTCCGTGATAAGAAATCACACTTACCATTGACAATTACAGTGCATAATATATTTTCAAAAAAAAAAAAAAAACATTGAACGGAATAGAGAATTTTAATTAATTAAAAAAACATATTAAATGGAATATACGAACAACTTGACAAATTTGTTGAAAAAATTTGTTTACAAAGTCGACGAAACGGACGGATGGAATATATCATGTTGTATATCATTGGGAAGGAATATTTTTTTTATAAATATTTACGTCAAATTTCATTGTGGTATCTTTCACGAGTCAAAGAATGTTATTCTAAAATCGTCGCGTGAATTCGGAGAAGTCGAGTGAAAACGCCGAGTGTCGAGGCATGTTTCCAAAGATTGTGCTCCGTTTTACCGAATCACGATCCAACCTTGCTGACTGCTTCGGTCAGTTTCAAGGTGACAGCCGATGGGATCGATGCTCGTCCCCTTCCCTCGCAAGTTTTCGTTCGAAAGAACTCCAGAAACGAAGGAGCATCCTGTTCAAGGCGAAAAATTTTGAAATTTTGTTCGCCCTGTTCTCGATCTGGATCAATTAGTCAGCGAGACATCTCGATTATAAAAGACGTGAAATTATCCAAATTATCAGAGAAGGTGCAACAGGCGCGATTTCAACCATCGAACTGATTATACAAACGCTACTTCATCCATGTAATTATTCTCGCGAGATGGAAAGTGGTATTACAGACAGCACTGTAATCAAGGATTGAACGCGTGCTAGCTGGTTTATTCTGTCTCGTTCCATTCCACGAGGAGCTAGTTTCTAGCTAGATCAAGCTCGGACACTCTTGCTCGCTTTTAGTTAAATTCACGATCCCGTAATCGCCCGCGAGATTATGTAAGTTACTGCAAAACGCCCAGAATCTACAATCGATATAAATTATAATCTGAAATATAATCGAAATAATCGTGGAATGACGGACTGTACAAATAATCACGTAATCAACAATACAATGATTTATTGTCAATATGTGATTTATTATACTATGAGGATTTAGCGGAGGATCAAAAAATGTAGCACGTTGAATAAATATGCAATATATTGTACAAATATATATATATAAAAGAAATACATTCACTTTCAAACATGAATGTATTTTGGATTTTTAATATACCTTTCAATATACCCTTTTAATATATCCTTTAAATATAATATAATATACCTAAATGTAATTAATATACCTTTAACAAATATATATAGATATAAAGAACAAGAAATACATTCACTTTCAAACATGAATGTAATTTGGATTTTTAATATACCTTTCAATGTACCCTTTTAATATAATATAATATACCTAATATAATATAATATACCTAAATATAATTATAATACCTTTATAATATAATATAATATAATACAATATAATATACCTAAATATACCTTTAACAAATATATATATAAAAGAAATACATTCGCTTTTAAACATGAATGTATAATATAATATATCTGAATGTAATTAATATACCTTTAACAAATATATATAGAT